CGAGATTAGGCGGAACAGAGATGTGCGTGTGATAGGGGAAGGCGGTCTGCATGGGGAGGAGGGGAGTGTGTCGAGAGAGCCGCCGTATGGCACCAGAGAGGTTGCTCCAGGACAAAGTAGACGGTGGTGAGAAGGCTGAATGGAGGAGTGGCGTTCTATGGAAAGCCGATGATCGGACCAGGGAAACGGTGAGCCGAGAAACGGCCTTCATGGAGGTGGAAGAAGGGTGTCGGCCGTTCGTGTTCCTTGGGAGTTATTATGTCCATCTGTCAAATCATCTACCCACCGGACAGCCAGCGCATTTCCTTCTTTCTTTCTTTTTTTTTTTTCTTTTTTTTTTCTTTTTTTTTTCTTTTTTTTTTTCAAGCCACCGCATTGTTTAGTTGTTTTTCCCACGAGCAAAACTGGTTTGCATCGAGCTTTCTTCTCATCTTGGCGCATCCGTGCACATTATAACGGATCCCTATGAGGCTCCTGTCTCGTATCAACGTTTCTTGATACCTCCTCCCTCTGTGAGGCTCCGTGCCTACTATCATTTACTCAATCCGTTATCCGATCCCTTAGTTCAATCCGTTAGCCAATCCGTTAGCCAATCCGTTTAACCCCAATCCGGTTGTGAATACTGTTTACGGATACCACTTGCTCGCTGTCTCCAGGATACCTGTTGTAGCACCTCTTTGTCATTTTCGTTTTTCTCCTTCAGGGCGTACTCACACTAGCAGTATCTCAAATGGATCTGACCGCATTTACGGCCATACCTGGATGTATCAGGCCACACGTCCGTCCAGCAACACGTAAAAGGTCGTAGTGTGAGTATGCCCTCAGAGACGGAAGAAATGACAAAAAAATGGTTCGTGGTCAATCTCGTCTTCGTAAGGCGTCCATTTTTTTCGCCGCCTCTTACTGATGATGCCAATCGGGCCTCGCTCATGTACTAGATATTCTACAGGTATCTCGACTGCGTCGTGGACCCGGTACATTCGGAGTAATCCAACATTTTGAAATGTATCGGGACCATTACCATCTTCGTGTACATGTGGAATGTTGGTTGTGCAGGGGAGTGAGGCTCATCTTCAGCCATCTGCTGTAACAAAAAGTAACGTCGCAAAACTCTTGAGGGCCTCGCTCTACTAGTCTTCATTCGAGTACAACGTACGGTCACTATCACTGTATCTAGACTCAAAGTTGCCCCAAGTACAGCTATAATGACGGTACGTTGTATTCGGGTGAAGACTGTTGTCACCAAATGTGCAAAATGAAAATGAATCTTCTGCTAGAACGTGGGAACATACGCCGCCACATTTTTTGCCTTTTGTGCATGTGGTGAGTAGTGGAGCGAGGCCCTCAGAGTACGGTTGCTGGCTGTGAGGCTGCTCGTAGGGACGCGCTAGGTAGGCCTCCAATATTCCTGCGTGAGGTGGGAGGGTATATATGCCTTCATTCTTGTTCCTTTGTTTTAAGGGCCGAGTATATACCCTGATTAACGGGTTTGCGTTCCGATCTTGTCGTCTGATCGGCTTTCCCGTCGCCTCCCAGACACTTTTTTTTTTTCTTCCGGTACCTCGGGACGACTTCTTGTTCTAGTCCACCTGTTCTCTCCTGCGCTCGTGCCTATACCTACCGTCTTCCCCGGAACATAACGTACCCTGAAAATGAAAGTATACAAGCTATGTTTCCGGTCTGGTACAGCCAAAGTGAGGGTGCGTTGTGTTCGGGGGAAGACGGTAGCAATGTGATGGAAGCACCACTGCGAATCATATAATGAATCACATAGTCCATTGGGAATTGGCATGCCAACGATGAAGATTATGTTGATAGTGCGCAGGGCGTGATCATTCGGACGATGACGTTTAAGGTGGTAATTGTGGTACTACTTTCGTTCCGGTTATGTTCATATGATTGCGTCGGGATCGCAGCTTAGGTCTGTATTCCAACAGCTCATGAGTATACCAACTGAGCTAGGCCCATTGATTGGTGTGGTACTACTCTATATATGGCTGATTGTTAATTCTTACGATGCGAGTTGTGGTGATTAGTCGTCAGCCACTGCATCTATGTCTGATGGGGATGATAACGGCAGCGACGGCGATGATGACCGACCATGACCAGATCGTGGATCATGATGATGCGAAGAAGAGGAGCCGAGCTGAAACCATTCAGTAGAAGTATATAGGGATTTATTGATGGGACCACAATTTCTCTCTGGCCAATTACTAATAATAAATTGCTGCTAAAGCGAAGTACATAGACGTTCCTTTCTTTATCCACTAGTCCAGCGTTCGCTTCTTTATCCATTCAGCCGTCGATCTACCCCCCCATTAATTATCCCGTTCATTATCCTCACGCATTATCCATTCATTATCCTATTAATTAATTATCCATTCATTATTATCCTATTATTAATTATCCCATTCATTATCCTCACGCATTATCCATTCATTATCCTATTAATTAATTATCCATCTAGGCTACAGAGTGGCCCGGGTCCACTTGCCCGGCCGGGCCAAAGAGATATAAAAGAAGTAAAAAACAAAATATT